AGACAATCCCTTCCCCAGTCCTGCTGCCCACACTATTCCTGACAGAAGCCTGGATGCCCTTGGCCTTCTTGCCCACCTTCGCATGCTGTTGACTCAGTCAATCAGCATCTCCTGGTCCTTTTCCACTGGGCAGCTTTTCAGCCACTCAGCCCCGAGCCTATAGTGCTGCATGGGATTATTGCTGCCAAACTGTAGGACCTGGCACTTTGCCTTGTTGAATCTCACATCGTTGGTCTTGGCCCATCAATCCAGTTTGGCCAGATCTCTCTGCAAAGCCGTTTGACCCTCCAGCCCAACTTGGTGGCCTCTGCAAACTGCACTCGATATCCTCATCCAGATCATCAATAAAGATACTGAACAGTCAATAAAGATACTGAACACAGTAAACATACTTAACAGTACTTCACAATCCTTCTAAACCACCTTTTTATTCAAAGGTAATAAAACATACCTACATATGAAGGAATTGAGGCTTCTGACCTTCCTGTGAAAAACTACAGGTACTACTTTATCTGCCCCTGAAATTCAGCTATCCTGTGAAGAATAGCAGTTGAACTTTAAACAGGGAAAAATTAATTAATTCCACTGGAATTTAGGCAAACACTTACATTATCCTCTTTTATCATGAGAATACTTTCAGGCAACTTAGGTAGAGCTGACTGATAGGGACTCTGGATTTTAAACCCTGCATGAAAAACAGATGAGTCCCTAAGCCTCAAATTTCTACATAATCTGCATTACAGGAACAGACCTGAGTGTTCATCAAAACAATCCTTCAACCAAATTGTCTGCAGGTTAAACAGATCAAAGAAGACATTGAAAGAGCCAGGGAGATTGAAAATTACTCTACTGACAGAGGCAGAAGTCTATCTTCCTCAGTACCTTGTCCAGAAGAATAAGAAAAATTCTAAGTTGCAGCTTAAGTGTCTACTGCTATAATTTCATTATTAATACCCTTGTAGATTTTTTCAACCTGTTTACACTTTTGTACAGTCACATCACAGCACTGGTGCTCTAGAAAGATATTAAGAAGAGAACCCAGGTCTCCCATGCCCAAATTAATGCAGGACGCTACCTCCTATCTTACAATTTATCCTTTTTTTTTCCCCATGTAGCTTACCATCAAGACGCAGGTAAAGGAAATTTCGAAATGCAAAGTAATCTTCCATAATGGTCATGAGTGATGTCATTTGACAGAAAAGAAGCACACGATGGTTAGTAGCTCGTAACTTTGGCAGAATACGATCGAGTAGCTCAAACTTTCCTGAAGCCCGATAAAGTTCAGCTCTGTTGAAGAGAAGCAGCACAGTAAATGTTGGAATAAGCACACGTTTAGAAGTTTTTAGTCATTATGTCAGTGCAACAAAGAAATTAATTTCTTAATAGAAACAAGACTAATAGTACTTTTCTTTTATAAAACTGCTTTTGTTGATAAAAATAAAAAAAAACAGTGAAAAAACATGTGAATTCCTGTTTTCCTGACTTTTTTTTTAGTTACAAAAACTGTGTGGATTTTCAAGTAAAGAGAATACTGTCCTTTATGAAACTTAGTTCCTTTACAGTATTTATCAAAACAAATACTATTTCTCAGCTAGATAAGCATTTTATCAATTAAGACTGCTAGTTTTCTTTTCAACTGGCATTGAAAACAACTTCCAGTTGCAACTGCAGTTTCAAGTTGTATCCATTAGGCATATGTTAGAAACAATTCACTTTCCACTCAACTATAATCCACATGAAAGTGAAATATTCCAAACTGAACTAATATGCAGAAATAATGGAAGGAGTCTGACAGAGGATTTACTGTATAACCATATGACTTTAGTAGTCCTGAACACTGTTGAGCTGCTTTTATTAGCTGCTCTTCTGTCTCCTGTGCTGAGGATTGCAAAACAGACTTTCAGCACTGAAATTCGAGCCATAACTGGGAAAATTAATAAAAGTAAAGAGGATGTCTTAATCAGCATCACACTGATACACTTGATAAAAATAAATGTCATGCAATTTTTTTCTAACCTTGACTCTGTATTCTCAAAATACAATTTATCATTAGCAATGGTACAAAGACCAGAAGATACACACTGTTCTGATACGCATACATCTGTAATCAGCAAAAGACTACACTGTTTCAGAGACAAGCATTCTTGTGTACTAGCTAAGGAGTCAAATAGTCTGGTGTACTAGTTAAGGGAAAAAAAATAGAAATGCAATTAACACCTGGACAGAAAGCGAGCTAGGTGGATGGTAAGACACCTTTCCTTGAGAAGGCATCCATTAACTCAACAGCTGCACAGTATCAAGAAAAAAAAAGTAAATCTATTTCATTTCAAATAATGGAAGAAATGCCACTTTAACTCACAATTAACATGGTAAAGAAAAAAACCAGAAGGCAAAAGTAACAAGAAAGTGAAGAAAATCTCTGAAGAGTCCAAAGAATTCCAGAATTTCCAATTAACTTCAGATAGTATCTAAGCTATTTCAAAATAACAGGTACGTAAGACATCACTTACAGTCTTTTCTGCCTGTAACCCTCAAAGAGATGGAGGGTCATGAAAAGATCATGTAACAGTTCTAGTACTGCTATGCCTTGCTTTAGATATGTGCCCTGTGTCTCCTCTGCCTTTCTATAAACTCCATAAACACCTTCCAGAAAAACAATGTGATCATTACTTCCAACACAACACTATGAACAGGATTTAAAACTGAAAAGTTACCCGTTGATGACACCATTTGAGTAGCCTAAATGTTCAGCGAAGGACTCCTGTAGAGTTATAAGCAATAAACAGATTATTACAAACAAGACAGTAACCAAAATTCATGCATTCATATATAAATCAAATCAAACATATGAGTATTGAAGTTTGAGTTCTCAAATGTTCATACTCTTGGAACCTACTTTGAAGCAACAGTTGCCCTGCTTAATGCTTTCCTGTACTACTATTATTTGAAATTCAATGTTTGCAGAAGTCTGCAGCATACATTTTATGACATTACAAATACAGGAGAACCCTAATTAATTTATCCTAATTACTAGAAGATCCATTTGCAAACTACTCAGTTTAATTAATCAGCATAAAAGTGATCAAAGAGTGAAAATTACAATTATAATAGACCACAGCAGGTACTTAAGTTATTCACTTATAAATGCAGCTATGTTCCAGATATTTATGACACTTTCTATCTTTCCAGATATATTATATTTATGGACTTCAGGTCCTATTGAGAGATGCTATATAGCTAGTACATTTTTGCTGGAGAAACAAGGTGGATGGAAGAGGACAACTTTAGTTGACGTTGTAAAAGATCAGCAGTCTGCTAGTTAGAAAGATTCTACACATGGCATTTTGAACTAGTGTCTCTACATCATACATTTGGTCTAGGTGGATGCCAAGTTGCTCTGGAATGTCTTAACTATCAAAAAAACCCTTCACTTTTTAAAGACATTGTTCTATAAGACTGAATGTTTTAAAACTAGGCTTCAGATTACCAATAAGAAGCTGGCAGTTGTTAACTGAAATAACTGTTTTTCAAATGTGTCCTTTCCAGTATAAATTACATGGACAGAGAGGTCCTCTCCCACACACAAGCTTCAGCACCAGTTTCCTATTATGTTAGCCATCTGAATAAAAGCAGCTTTCAAAATCAAACCTGCCAGTCTTACCTCAATGTGTTGAAACATGTATGGGTGATTGCATATCTTTCTCAATTGCATGATAGTGTTCATGAGAGTTTTTGCCCCACCTTTTCCCTATGGGTACAAACAAAGCAAAACAAATTATTAATTTCTTAGCTGAATAAAACTTTTGAAAATACTTTTAGCCCAAACCTGAAAACTGCATCACTAATACAACAAAACAAAACAATCCCCCCCAAATAATTAATCAAATGAACAAAACAAGAAAAACCCCTGAAGAAACAGCTGTCTTGCTGTAAAAATTCTTCAGAGGTAAGGATGCTCTGTAATGAAAAAGGAAGACCTGGAAGTATCCATGAAGTGCATTAAGTTTCTAGCACCTGCAGTATTCATGATGGGGAGCAGAGCATCTACTGTATTGCTTATTTACACTGTTTGTTATGAAACCACAAAAACTCCATCTGGTCTGAACCCTCCAACAGGAAACAATTCTAGCTGGATGCTTTTCAATTAAAAAATGCTGAAGATAATCAAACTCATGAGTCATCTTATTATTTAAAAAAGTATATTCTCAAAACCTAAAGTGAATCTTTCTGTAGGACCAGGACACACAGATCAGAAAACAGTTGCTCGTGCTAGATCAAACTGCATGGTTAAAAACCAATTGCAACTGGTGAAGAGAAGTTTGAGAACATTATAACACTGCCAAAGACTTGTCTCTTTCAGATGTCACTTTGCTTTGTTGCCATTCAATAAAAATGTAAGCAGAGTGGTTGCAGTATTCCAACCTTACTGGATGACTAATTCAGATTAACTTTAAAAATCTCAGCCAAAACAACTTAGCAATTTCCAGCCGTAAAAGTAGGGCAAAATGCACTCTATTATTCTAATATATACTAGCAATATTCTAGTCTTTCCTGGAAAGTACAATTAAATCATAATTTTCATCTAGAGCAGAGATTATCTGAAGAGGGTAATCCATGCATTTAAAATTTGGTTTTGTTCTTTCCAAAATACTCTCAAATTTGCTCCAAAATGCAGTTCAATTCTCTCTAATCTGAGCTGGCTCCAGGCCAGAGCTGCAGAGACAGGATTTTTTTCCTCACACAGTACTTGTTTGATCATTGAAGCCGAGCAGACTTAACAACCAGCTCCCTCTGCTGACAACAGGTAGTAGGGATAACAGAGCTTCATGAAACAGAAAAAAAAAAATGTCAAGAGAGGGCGGCAAGAGAGGAAAATTTTAGAC